AGTTTTACATAGTGTTACACAAAATTTTAGATCTCTTGCTGCTCTGCCTTGACGTCAAAATCCATTTTGTCGTCGTTATCAGAATTCTTTACCGCGCTTAATTTTTTTTAATGATCTCCATATTTCTGATCAGAATTCTAACAAACTTGCACAACATGAAGTCAAAATAAAATTAAAAAATTATATACATAAATTGAATTATTTTCGTTCTTATTATGGGTCCACCGGGGTGTTGAACATTGGTGTTACATATTTTCATTATCTGATTTTGTGACTGCGCCGAGTACCCCTACCATTGACACATTTATATACAGTTCAAGAAAAGAAATTTAATATTTGTAAAATATTTCTTGCTTTTATGAATTCTTAATGTTTGTTAAACGTATGTGCAAATTTTCACCGAAAGACGTTCATTAGAAAGGAAAATATACAGAATGTCTCAATAATTTCCGAACAGCCCTCGTATTAGATTATACAGTGAAATATTAATTTCAACTGTACAGATTTGACATGTGTTTCTGATCTGATAATTTTTTGATGACGTTCGTAATTGATTGGAGAATAATGTTCGCGACATTTCTTTGATCTCGGGCAATAATCGTAGTAGAATTGTATATATTCATACCGTAGACGGTTTTGCTGAAACTACACCCCACCAGAGCAGAGATAAGTTTTGTTATGTGATTTTTTTTGTATTCATAATACATTCTCAAAACAAGAAGAAAACAATAAAAACAATTAAAATAGACACAGAGTAAATGGTTACTGAAAAAAAAAAATCAAATATTTGTTTTGAACATTTAACAGTATGTAAATTGGAGTATACAAAAGTTTTGATTACTGAAGCAGTCCTCTCTACATTTAAGGCTTATTGAAAGGCGATTTTTGATCGCTTGTATCCCATTTAAAAAAAAAACAATGTTAAACAGTGAACATGGCGTTATGAATAGCAATTGCTCTGGTGGCATATTCCATGATGCGTGTTAACCGTGCCACCTTTTGATTTCGTTGTGACGTCATCGTTCAAAGTATTGAAACTGTGAGAAAAAAATTTAATTACTCTGTTATAAAAAAAGGAGAATAATTTTATAGTGTTTTTAACTTAAGAATGTTTTTCTTATGTATCTTAAATTCCTAAGATTCAGTTAAAGAGCTGAAATTGTTCTTGAAATAGATACACTATTGCAGAAATTTTCGCTTTGTCTGAACGTAAAACACCCGACCTTGAAGAGTTATCGTTCTTTGTAGCTATGTGCGTAAAAATTTACAGATAGATTAAAGATAAAGCAGCTCTGTTTACTTTGGAGAGAGTCTCTTCCGTCAATGATACGTACAATGACGTGCACACCAATAATACAATATTATTATGTTATAATACAATATATTTAAAATACTTCATCTTACTTCAGATGATTATTTGAACACAATCAAATGTCTTTCTCTGGTTGTTAGTACTGGAATTAACGTTAATTAGCGGATTATTTTAAAGCAACCGCGGTGAGTGCAGGTTCATAGTGGGAGAAAACAAAGAGTATGCAAATAAAATTATGTTTCTTTTTTAGATGGGCTCTTCTGAATATGTATCTTCGCTAGTCAAGGGTGACGGTCCGAGCGGATCGTCATGCAATCTTGGCGAGCGAAGATGTTGGAAACGTTTCTTGAGCTATGAGGTCAGAGAGGCTTTCGTGTTAAGACTTTTCACCAGGAGATTTGTCAACTTTCATAAAAAGCCTATTTACCGATGTTTTAGGATCACATTTTCGAATTATCAATGAGGACAAAAAATGAAATACTAACACGAAAAATGTTAAATCAAGGGAAATATTATTTTTCTTTTCGAAACCATTCAGGCTATAGGATCATGAAACAGACTTAAACTTAAGATAAATTTTCAATCGCCTGTAAAATGTTCATTAATGATTGAATTAATCTCCAAATTTAGAGGTAACGAGGCTTTTGTAAAGCAATATTGAAAAATATTTCAGTTTTAGTGTGTTTGACTACTACAATATTTTAGTGCTACATAAAGATTTTGACTTAAGCTTAAGACGATTCATGATCCCGGGGCCAGATATTGTTTGCTAAGCTAAGATTATTGACATTGCAGACTTGACAATGTTTTTTTTTAAGTGATATTTTTCTTTCGTCAATGTCATACCAAGTGGTCCACTGAACAAACGAATTATACACTATGTATAGTTTTTTGGTATTACCTGTGATCAATTCTTATTGGTAGTTATGCAACAACAACAGAAATCATTTGATACTACGAACTATTCTAATGATTTGTCAATTTAGTGAAATTTCCATAATATAGAAATGAAAATTAAACAAATAAATAAAATAAAAGCCTTGATGTCTTGCTCCAAACGTATCAGATACTCAGGAAACATAAAACAAGTATCTCTTCATTTGCTGCTGTTTGTATCTCTTTGGTTGTTCATCAAATCTTTCCTCATCTTGTGAACATCCTCAATAACACAGATTAAGTGCAGATCCACTTAGGTGCACCAAACACATTAAATTCTGAGCATACATACATTAAAAACAATGAATTATGAGTATGTAAACATTAATATCATTAATATGACGAATAAAACCTCAAGTAACCCCCCCCCCCCCCCCGCAAAAAAAAAATGTACATTGTAATCTAAATGCTAACAAAGTCTTTTGAATTTACTCCTACGAAAAAGAACAAGAGGCCCTTGGGCCTTAAGGGTCACCTGAGTATAATACAACAATTTAGAGGATCCATAGAGTATAAAATGGACTGAAAGGTGAAGCTTTGTTGCCCCAAAAGCAAGAAAAATAGGGTGATCAGGATCAACAAAATAATTAGTCTAGCATTCATTAACAGTTCATAAATTATGTTCTAATATGTTCCCCATTTATCACTATCACCATACAGTATATTAACAAACTATCAGTGCTTCTGTACTGTCTTATTCCTTGTTGAAATCTCTTACATTGACCTCTCTTGTCTTTGATGAACATTTAATAAGACAAGTTATTTTTGTCTCATTTTTATTTATCTATTACTTACAAGTCTACCTGATCATTTAAACTATGAAAGTACTTTTTGTATTATACAATAAAAATTCTTGCATAATTCTATTTAACCTTTCAAGTACATTATTTACAGTGATTAATTATCAAAAGTAAATGGCAAAGGGGAATAACTCCTCTCAGTAGATTATAAATTAATAGAGCCCTAGCCAGGACCAGAACACTTGACCAAATGGTCAAGATGTTCAAATATCTGGTAAAAATACCCTTCCTTATTAAAACTTTTACTCTTTTGCCTCTGATATGCCCAGGTGCAGAGAAGATTTTAAAGAAATAATGCATTTTTACTACAGATTCACTATTTTATCAATAGAGCCCCCCTCCCCATCGAGAGACACCAGAGCCTCTCACTCTGGGACCAGAAGTTTGCTCATCATAAGTAATCACTTTGTTTATCTGCTTAACACTAAGGATTATTTAATAGAATTAATGCATATTCACTACATTATCAAGAGCCCCACCCTTACACCAGCACATCTAACCCAGGGCTCATGCAGTTCACTACTCTGGAAGAAGCTCTCTTGGTCATCATGACTATACACATAGCTTCTTCGCTCTTTAACCAGAAGCAGAAAAGAATATTTTCAAAGAAATTTTGCTTTCTCACTAAATCATCAATAGAGTCCCCCCCCACCCCACCCCCCCCCCCCATTTCACCAGAACCCTAAACCCTGGAGCCATGAAATTCACAACTTTGGAAGAGTCATCCTTGCATATCATAACAATGTACTGAGTTTGCTTAAAAAATACCCAGGGGCAGAGAAGAAAATTTTCAAAGAAATAATTCACCTTCACTATAGGATCTATATTGCCCCACCCTAGCACCAGAACCCCTGTCCCTGGGGCCATGAATTTCATAATTTTGGAAGAGGCATCCTTGCTTATAATAACAATGTACTTAGTTTGTTTAAGTAATACCCAGGAGCAGAGAAGAAGATTTATAAATCATTAATGCATTTTCACTGTATAATAAATAGAGTCCCACCCTAACATCAGAACCCCTGAACCAGGGGCCATGAAATTCACAATTTTGGTAGAGGCATACTTGCTTATTTAAACTATGTCTTTAATTTGTTTAAATTATACCCAGAAGTAGAGAAGAAGATTTTAAAGAAATAATGCACTTTCACTATATGATCTATATAGCCCCGCCCTAGCCCCAGAACCCCTGACCCTGGGGCTGTGAATTTCACAATTTTGGAAGAGTCACTCTTGTTTATCATAACTATATATTGAATTTGTTTCAATAATGCCCAGGAGTAGAGAAGAAGATTTTCAGAGAAATAATGCACTTTCACTATATGATTTATATAGTCCCGTCCTAGCACCAGAACCCCTGACCCTGGGGCTATGAATTTTACAGTTTTGGTAGAGTTACTCTTGCTTATCATAACTATGTATTTAATTTGTTTTAAGAACATCCAGGAGTTGAGAAGAAGATTATCAAAGAAATAATGCACTTTCACTATAAGATGTATATAGCCCCGCCCTAGCACCAGAACCCCTGACCCTGGGGCTATGAATTTCACAATTTTTGTAGAGGGATCAATTCTTATTATAATCATGCCAACAGTTTGACTGCTTGATGTCCATGAGTAAAGAAGATTTTTAAAGATTGCATTAATTTTGTAGGTTTTAGCCCCACCCCTCTGGCCCCGGGGAGAGGGGCAGGGACCATGAAATTCACAAATTTTGTTCCCCTTCACACATAGATGCCATATGCTAAAATTGGCTGAAATTGGTTCGGCGGTTTCAGAGAAGAGGCTGAAAATGTTCAAATGTTAACACAGAACGCACGACGGAGGACGCACGACGACGGACGAAAACAGATAGCAATAGGTCACCTGAGTGACTCAGGTGACCTAAAAACTTCAAACACAAAAATAATGATGTGAGTATATAAATGTGTCTCAGAGATGGTTTCAGAAATTTACATATATTTCCTCTGAGGAAACAGAGCGGGAAACCAAATGGTAACACTTCCGGTATTCTTCCTGGAAAAGACATGAATATCACAGCTTACAGAAAAGAAGAATTTTTGAGGAAGTAGAAAAGTAGCTGCAAGTACATATTATATCAATTTCAGTTAGAATTTGCAATCTTTATAACTTCATAAATCAAACAAGAGTTTGTATATTAATCGTTGTTAAATTAGTATTAATAGTAAGAAATCAATTGGTTTGGTTTGATTGTTTGTTGTTTAACCTCTGTTACAACGCACTTTGAAAAATTACGCACTTTGAAAAAAAATTTCAAAGTGCGTTAATTTTGGGACCACGTTAACGCACTTTGAAAAAAAAATTCTTTTTCAAAGTGCGTTAATATCGACCATATTAACGCACTTTGAAAAAAAAAATGTGTACGGCTTGGTCAATAATCTTGCAAATTTTAGGTATGATAAATAATTATTTGAACCTGGTTGAATAACTTTTCGGTGATGACGTCAGGATCTGAGATATAGACGTTTAAAAGATTTTTAGGAGTTCTCTTCTTTCCAAAGGTTCTAGTAACTGTTATAAAAGGGAAATGGGTTCTTAGAAATAATGGAGGAATTATTGTTTAATAGCACAGTTCCGTTTCTTTTTTCTTTTCTTTTTAAAATCTTATCCAGTCTCTAATAAGTTCGGTAAATGTAGGTGTCGATAAGTGACTTAAAGCATCGCATTTTTATGCCCCCGGATCGAAAGATCCCGGGGGTATATTGTTTTTGTCCTGTCTGTCTGTTTGTCTGTTTATCTGTTTGTCTGTTGTCAACTTTAACCTTGCCCATAACTTTTGATTGGTTGGAGCTATGACTTTCATATTTCACATGTGTATTCCTTGTGACAAGACCTTTCTTTGGGTACCATCATATTTGACCTTTTGACCTTGATCTTGGAGTTTGACCCACTTTTGCAAAATTTTATGAGACTTTAACCTTGGCCATAACTTCTGAGCAGTTGGTGCTTGGGGTTTCAAACTTCACATGTGTATTCTTTGTGACAAGGCCTTCCTTTGGATACCAACAACTTTGACCTTTTGACCTTGACCTAGGAGTTTGACCTACTTTTGAAAAACTTTAACCTTGGCCATAACTTTTGAATGGTTGATGCTAGGGCTTTCATACTTCACATATGTAATTCTTGTGACATCACCTTCCTTTGAATACCAACCACTTTGTCCCTTTGACCTTGACATAGGAGTTTTACCTACTTTTGAAAAACTTTAACCTTGGCCATAACTTTTGAATGGTTGGTGCTAGGGCTTTAATACTTTACATATGTAATCCTTGTGACAAGACCTTCCTTTGGATACCAACAACTTTGAGCTTGACCTTGATGTTTTACTTACTTTTAAAAAACTTTAACCTTCGCCATAACTTTTGAACAGTTGCAGCTAGGGCTTTCAAATTTAACATTTTTTTTATCTTTTGGCCTGGATTCTGACTTGCATTTGAGAAACTTTATCTTTCGCCATAAGCTGCCATACGGGGGCATCAGTGTTTCACAAACACATCTTGTTCTTTCGGCAAAAGGGAGCAATTATGATTTTTCCATAGCATGAAAACTCTCTCTCTAGTAAGAAAGTAAACCTTAGCCACATTACTCACTCGACTGAAATTTTTACCTCGTTCACTAATAACGTTATGCAGTCAGGTTACTTTTAAATCTGTAATTTGGTATCATAAAAATGCTAGGCATGTCAAATAGCATGATTTAATTACCATATAAATGCATTTTTTCTGAGGAATCATTGTGGATACATTTTGAATAAAGGTTATGCGGATCTCTTCTTTAATATAGTCTGTTCATTGAAGTGTACAGCAGTTTCGTTTTCCTTTATATTGCATGTGATGCTTATATTTAATTGTATGAACCATACCAGTAATTTAATTTAATTGTTAGTTGAGAACACTTGCAAGTGAGGATCAGGTAAATACTGCACCCAATGCAGCCATTACTTGTTATAATCATGATTGTATTGTTTTTAATTGTACATGCCCATTGAGGGCCCTTGATTGGTGAATAAACATATTCATATTCATATAGTAGGGTGCGTAATTTTTTTTATCAGGAAAGCTTATCTCAATTTTTTCATCTATTTTACGTTAACTCAAATCTATTGAGAGAAATAATATCAATGTCATACCAGTTATGTAAATACATATAGTTGTGTAGGAAAGATAGAGGGTTGGGCTGAGGGACTTTCTACCTGTCTTCTCGTTCTAGTTGATGGTAGATCAATTCATCAGTTTATCGGAAGAAATGTAAATGTAACAATTTAATGCTGTCTATTATCAAAATATAAGTCCAGAATTTTTGTTTTATACGTATTTTTTCAAAGTGCGTTAAGTGTCTCCATGGTAAAAAATGTTGATGTACACTCTTAACGCACTTTGAAAAAAATTTTCAAAGTGCGTTGATTTTGTTCAAAATTTAACGCACTTTGAAAATTTTTTTCAAAGTGCGTTAATTTTGTCCCAATTTTAACGCACTTTGAAAAATTTTTTCAAAGTGCGTAAATTTTTCAAAGTGCGTTGCCACAAACGTCCCTCTCGAGAATTTTTCACTCATATGGACATGCCACTACTTGCCGGTGGAGGGCTACAAATTTTGACCTATACTCGGCACTCAGGGCCATTGAGCAGAGAGGGATTTTTTCGTGCCTGCACCTACTGCGACACGGGACCTCAGTTTATACGGTCCCACAGTTGGATTCGAACCCGCGACGTAAGGATCAACTCCTTACTCCGAGACTCTAGAGCAGAGGCTCTAACCACTGCGCCACGCGGGCGACGAAATCAACTGGAAACATGTACATCTATTTCCTCTTTCTACACTCACAAGCGTTGTGATGACTTCTGGTCTCCTAGTCTGCATCTGTCGGACTCTTGTAAATATGTCCACTTCTCCATCAATACGAAGCTGTTGAATGGCGTTATGCAAAACACAGAATATACCGGCTGGACCAGCTCCGTTCCTTTGTAAAAATAAAATAATTATTTGGGAAAGAAACAACATATTTCTCAAATCATCGCATTAAAAAAAAAACCAAACAAAAAACAACAAAAAATTGTTCTGCAATGCATTTTTAGGGCATCATTAAAAGTATGCCCCAAGAACTTTTGCTATTCATGTCAAATGAATTATTAATAAATTTGTACAGGAAACAAGACCCATATTTTGCGAATGAAGATCTACTTCGATTTTTATTCTTATATATCTTCTTACTTGCTAACGACAAGAGAAGTTGAAGTTGATGCATTTTCTTTCTCAAGTAGCATTTTTGCACATTTTACAAGAGCCTCGTCATTGCCAGATGATGTTTGGTAGATATCGACATGCGCTTTTTGACCCTTAATTAGTTTATGAAAAATAAAAAAAAATAAATAAAAATTAATTCTAAATGCAGTGTATGTCAAAGGTCGTATTCATTCGTTTTCATTAGAAACTCGGAAATCTTGCCAAAGATTACAAAGATACGAGCTACCGTCTTACGCTGTTTGAAATCAGCAATCTATCTTGTAGAACGCCATTGATGTCACTTCCGGTATCTTTTGCCGTTATGGTAAAGGGCTGACAGTGTCGTGTTTCTCCTCTGTTGGGCAACCAGCTGTTTCCCTTTGAATTAAGGAAATATATAATAATAGACTTTTGGAACAGGATTGGAAAAAAAGAGTTCAACAACTAAAACTAAATAAAAATATATACTAAGGATGTAAACTGAGGAAGGACTTTCTCTAAAAAAGAATGTTTTATGATAAAAAATGGTAATGACATCCCAAATAAAGCGAAATTAAATTACTTCGTCAGTGTCATTTAGAACAATCAAAGCTGTTACTCCATGGTCCATACACAGTCGCCACAGATCGACCTCTGTGTCCAGTAAAGGTTTTTGTGTCATAATAAATCCATTTTGGTTTGTAAATGTCTGAAATATATTCAAAAAATTACAGAATAAACCTCTCTCTCCTGTACAGTTCTTTTTATTTTACATGTTTACGGGAATAGACCAACACCACAGCCCCCCTCACAAAACAGTCACACAAACCCTGCTTTTGAACAAAAAAATTATGAAGGGTACATACCGGAGCTATGACAGCATTTATATAGTCATTTCTTCCCTTAACGTATGTTGTAAGGTAGGGTCGGTATTTTGTTACTGAAGAAAAGAATATGCATGTATCATTACATAGAAATATATTACAAAACAAACAAATACACTAAACAAAGAAACAGTGCGAACCTGGTAAAATGTCCATATCCACATTTTTAGCCATATTCTCAAGTTTCTTTGCATCTTCCTTAGATCCATTATCGTCAACGGTTTTGAAAACAGATACAAACTAGAAAAAAATGCATTCTTTGATAAATATGGTTTTCTTCATAAAAAGTTACAGGAAAGCAATTATTCATGACTTCATGACTTTAATCAGGATATTTTCTGTATGTAATTGTCTTGATGCATTTTTATTTTTATTGCAATTGAAGGTAAGGACTAATAAATGCAATCATGGATTTGCTTTCTTGATGCTTTCATTCATAACATTCAGGTAAATTAATTTTGTACTATTTTTGAATAAGTGCACGAAAAGTAAGTAGAGTCAGACAATGCAAGCCATATTACTGAAATATGTACTTGATTATATAGTCGTACAGAATTTTCTGCTAGTCGGTATATTTTTACTTACCTGAAACTCATTTGCTAAAGTTTGTTGATTAAAAGGTGAAGTATCATTCAGCAAAGTGAGTACTTTTGTCTGAAAGTCACGTTCAGAAAGTATGACATCTTTTTCTTGAAATCCACAGAGAAGCGCCTTATGTAGGAACACATACTGCTCCTGAGATTTATAAAGATTAACAAAAATAAATAAATAAAAATAAATAAAAATAAATAAAAATAAAAAAATAAAACTTTCTCATTGTTTTAAGCCGGTAAGGTTGGGATATGTTTCAAGACAAATAAATATTACTATTTTTTTTTATATACTTAATCATGAGAAAATCAGGTAATCTTACAACTGTTTGAACCATGGTCATACGATCCTCTCTCATTTGCTTCACAAACTCAAAAACGTTGATCCGCCCAGTTTCTCTACCTTGTTGAAGTAACACATTCAGACCAATATATGTCCCCGTTCTCCCCACTCCGGCACTGCGAAATTTTCAAAAAGAATCAAAATTTATCAAAAATTGTCAAAACTTGAAATTAAAATTATATTTTAAAAATACCGCACTATATGGAACTTACGTAAGAGACTAATAACATTAATTTTCATCATTTTCTTAAATTAGAAAGCAATTCAAAAGCTTTTTGAATTATTGTATTATTCAGCTTATACATATTTTACAAAAGGGATGTTGTGTGAAATGTTTTTTTTTTCACTTACCTACTATCAATCAACTTACCTAAAGCAAACTAATAACTAAGGATCCTGGTTGATATCATTTGGTCACAGATCTGTGGAACTGACCAAATTCACTTACCTACAGTGAACTAATAACGGTAGACCTGGTTGATATTTCTTTTTCACAGTTCTATGGAATTGATTCAGTTCAATTTCACCAGGAGTGCCATGGTCTGGCCAAGCTGTGTAATGAAACTGATTGATTGTTCTTACTTCCTCCGACTATAAATACAACAGAGACAAATAATTATCATCTCGCAACAAAGTTAAATAGGATAAAGTAGGATAGTAACGAGTGTGTGGGGAGTGAATGTATGAGTGCGTTGGTTACGAAATTAATCATTTAAATCAAGGTTTACGTGCTATTTTGCAAAAGGATATTCTGCTTTGAGGTAACCTTGTTTTAAATAATTGAATGAGCTAAAAGCAATAAAAAAGTTTTCATTGCTACAGGCAAAATATCTAAATGCACACAGTCCGGATTAGACACGTTTAACTGTACATTGAAAATACATGAAAAAAAAATAGGGAAAATACGTTTAACTGTATATTGAAATTACATGAAAAACTAGAAAAAATACGAAGAACAGATTTGATTTGTGTGATGTTTAATATCATATAAGTATAAATTTATTCAGGTCTTGTTTTTAATGAATACTTACCAAAGTATTATTAAGCAAATGTGTTTTTGTTTACTTAAAGCAATTCATTGTCAACGGATTTGTAGAAATGGTCTAGCTTTTATGTAAAAACTTACTTTTTTTCTCTGGATTGAGAATTGTCGAATTGTATAGAAAGCATACGTAGTTTCTTCCAAAAGAGACACTTTACATGGACCAGACGTCATCGGTTGATTTCTACCTGGCCAATATTTCGTGCACTTATTCTGAAACATAACATATTTAAGTCAAATACTTAGTGTTTGACAAAGAAGAAAGTGTTTGCAAAAATAGCAAAAAAATCACAGTATACCTTTCCATTCTCAACAAGATTTGTCAACATGATAATGCAACCAATATTCTCTTGCCAAATCACTCTCCAAAAATCTTTCAATGTATTTTTTTGTGGACCTGCTTGAAAAACAAACTACAATAATTTCACAACGTTCAATAAATTTCATAGAATATTTCTTTTATTAGAAAAATTATCCTCAAGCATTTTACCACAAAAGTGCAGTTTAAAACAGTTTATGTCCTAACAAATAATTACTATAGTTAACTATAGTAAACTAAAGTTCACTATAGTTAGCAATAGTAAAACAAAGTATAAAAATTTCCCCATAGTAAATCAAAGTTTCAAACTGTTTACTATAGAAAATCAAAGTTTCGAAGTTATCACTACAAATAATTGTAAATCAAAGTATCAAAATTTCCCATATAGTGAATCAGAATTTCAAACTTTGCATTATATTTTATCAAGTTTTAACTATAATTTTTTTTATCATAGTATCAAAGTTTACACGACAGTGGATTTAAGTATCAAAGTTTGCACTAGAGTAAAGCAAAGTTTTAATTTTTTCACTTGTTTTTATATGTATATCATCATTTTTAAAAGTAGGTACTTCCATAGACTGGGGCATCACAACAAAGCAGTGTATTTTTTTTTATAGGGGAAGTGTATCTCCAAATTTTAATTTACAACATTTTTTACTGCAAATGCAATATTGTTATTTCTGATTTACTTTTAGAAAATTCTTATGAAAAATAAGAAAAATGTGAAAATATGAGAAAAAAATCCGAAAAATGTTAAGTAAATTTGATGGAGCAGGTAGTTTGGTTCTAAATTACTAGAATTTTATTCTATACTATATTTTTTTCTCCATGAAAATAAAACTTTAATTGAATCGGAATTATATTTAATTATTTTATAATTAATGTTGCTAATAGTCAGTCTTTCGAATGGCAAGATAATGTCATATTAAACTTCATATTAAAAATAATTTGTTTTAATTTTGAGAGAGGGTAGTATAAACATTTCTCTAAGCTTTTGTGAATTTTAACTATGAATTATTACATAATTTCCAGAATTTGAATCCAAAACACAATACTATACAATAGTTATTCAAAATATCCACTATCTTAAATAAAAGTTTCAAAGTTTTCACTATCTTAAATCAGAGTGTCAAGTTTTCACTATGGTAAGTGTTAGTGTTAGCTATAGTCAATCAAAATTTTGACGTGTTAGCTATTGTCAATGAAAGTTTCAAAGATTTCACTAAAGTTAATTAAAACTTCTAGGATTTAACCATAGTGGACAAAAGTTTCAGTGTTCACTATAGTAAATTAAACTGAGTACTTTGACATTATAGTTCATTATAGTAAATTATAGTTTACTTTAGTAATGTTTGAAAGGGCAAATAAAGCACGATGCATGTTTTGTTTTTTGCAGTAGTACAACCTTTTCTTATAGTAAACATTGAAAGAATAAGAGTCACACAGCTTTCGCCCAGAATATCAAAAAAGGTTAAACAGGTGATAAGTAATGAATATATGCCGAATACACTTCTGCAGGGAAAATTATCAGATAGTTTTAGGCACGTTAGGGACGAAAACTGTTTGATTTTTTTTTCATACAAAATTGCATGAGGCTTATATCGTACTTAAAACATTGCTCTTTAATAGACACATTTTTGATTTACCTGAGATAGTACGATATATTAACAAAAGACAAAAGTGTTATTGACCATTGAAGCAATTCTTTCATGAATACATGCTTGAATGAAAATAACTCTGTATTTTTTTAATCAGCTACACAATTATGGGTATTTGAAGTAATATAAATGATTGGAATGGAGAGTAGGGCTGAAATATCCGTATGGATATGAATTGGATTATGATACAGACAGTTTAGTGAATGATGTTTTAGGGAATGGAAAGGAAAATGAAGATTTGAATTCGATTTGAGCTGAACAATCACAGAAGATAATGCAGATGCTAAAGGTACATGTATATGTATTTCTAAATAACGACATTGAGAATCAATTTTTGAGGGATTGCATGTGAATTGGATGAATTTTAAATGTAACCAGAAGTAGAACTCTTCTGTAATTAAAATGACAGATTTACCAGCCAACTCTGCTTTATAAAAAAACAGAATAAGAGAATATCTAAATTTTTAACAGTAAATGAAGGCATCACTTAAAGTCTAGCAAGTTTATTTTATGTTATTTAGTATACCAGGGTTCTAAAAGTCCGCAGACAATGTCAATCTTCGTTACATTACTTTCAAGAAATTTAAAATAAGCACTTTATTATATGTAAACATATTTATATTGTTGGTGTGTGAAGTTTCATGTCATTCGATTAATAGAACTCAATATATTTCATTTTAAAATCAACGTGTTTGATAACACGGAGCACACTTAACAACATTATATAACCTCAAAAACATAGCGTCATCATGTTCTCAAAATATTCTTCCTTTTAAATATATGGAGATAACGAACAGTATTCAAGCTCAAAAGTCCATTAATCAATACAAAATAGGAGCAGAGCAAACACGGACCTCTAAACATCAGAGGTGGGATCAGGTGCCATGGAGGAGTGAGCATCCCCTGCCGACCGGTCACACCCGCCGTGTGCTCCTTGTCATGATCGGGATATATATATATATATATATATATATATATATATATATATATATATATATATATATATATATATATTTTACACAGCACAGTCTGTCCATTATCTGCTCATTAAAAACGTGTTTCTATCAATTGAAATTATTTTTTTTTTAAATTTTCCAGTATAACATAATTTTGTTTGTCAATTTTTTTTTTTACCACTTAACTATGCTTTCACAAGATCGGCAACCGTGAAGCGGCTTTCTCTTTCCAAGACCTTACTAAATGAACGTTATTGGTTAGATTTTTTTTACAGAAAATCCATTTTCCCACAGATTGTTCTCGTCTGATACAAATTCCATGGCATTCAAATACCGTCTGGGCCATTTGCACAAAAACACATGCTTGCCTCTCTTTTGAGATACTTCATGTTTCCTACATTTTTAGATTTTATTCTGACGTTTTCCAGAGTACAACAGTAAATTGTATCGTAAACTGCTGCTTCGTGATGTTTTACGCCGTCACCTTTTTGGTTTTTTCATTGAGGACTACCAATCTTCAATAATTGATTTCTTTTCCATGAAGGAAACTCATAATTCATAATTTTGAATATGAAACGATGTAACATGCAGTTCTTAATTTGATCGTCTAGATTATTTTTGGTTTGAGCCATTTTACTGAGGCAATGACTACAGGCATCAATTAGTGTATATTCTTTGTAAATTACTAAATTTTGACTTGCTCCGCGAACTAATTTTCGCAGTTTTTAACTCCTAATAAGTTTGAACTAAATCAAGATATTTTAAAAAAATTTAATACAAATCATTTAAACTTATTGTTTCATTATTTCTAACAAATTTGGATATAATATGACGTTAAATAAAAACAAGATATGACAGAAATCCACGAACTTTCCGAACAACTCTCGTGCAAGGGGCTCGTGTTTGAATTAATTTATCTCATCCTACTTCAGAATATTCTTTTCATTGGAGGTCAATTTTTTTTAATTCTGTATGATCAGTAAATAATTATTCTATTTTAAAATAACTACGTACACATAAGATCAAATATTTAGCTATTTGCTTAAAAATGACACTTTTTGTCCGATTTTGAAGGATATCAGTACTGAGACAGTCTGATATTTCACTTAAGGACATAGGCAATGTAGTTTGAATTTTATTGTCTTTTTCCCTGGAGTTGAAGAGTTCCAATACTTAAAGGAACTGTATGCTACACTTTAATGTCTATATATGGTGCTGTACACTTCCTCCAAAACACATTTGGGTAGACAAAACATCTAGAATATATGTTTAGTAATTTTTGTATATTTTTCTTTGAATTATACAAGAATTTTCATCAATGATAAATATAGTTAATAATGATGACCTTAGATCACTGATTTTAAAAGGTCCTAAATATAGGGAACCCCGATCCGTCAACTGGCGTCGGAATTGCATAAATATTATGGATTCTGTAGAGGAGTACGCCAGGCGATGGGCCAGACATGAAAAAAAGACCTGGACACTTTGTCAGAATGGATTAAATGTATCAGGTGTATGTTAAAATCCCGCATTAAAAGATTGAGGGGTAATATGAGAACCATCTATCCTTCTGTATTCAATAATCCAGAAGTGAAAAAAAAATTAGATAGATTACATGATCAGTACCTACTGGTCCCTGCTGACAAAGCAGGTAACAACATTGTCTTTGTTTGTAAGGCTCATTATATTAAATGTGTTTTAGAGGAACTTGGATTTAATTCTACAAGTGGTAATCCAACTTATACTCATAGTTCTCTTTCTAAGGAAGGAATTCTTCAAAATCATATGTCAGTTTTGAATATTTTTAATATTCCAAACAACCAAAATGAATTTGAATTACCATATCTATATTGGATTCCGAAACTTCATAAAAATCCTTACAAACAAAGATACATAGCGGGTTCTAGCAAATGTTCAACCAAGCCTCTTTCTTTACTCCTCACTAAGATATTAACAGTAGTGAAGGGGAAACTTCAAGAGTACTGTGCAACAATATATTCGAGAAGTGGTATAAATCAGATGTGTATACTTAAAAATTCCAAGGAACTTTTGGAAAAATTGAAATCACAGGATTTTACCAAAATCAACGGTGTAAAAACTTACGACTTTTCAACTTTATATACACAATCATTCCTCACGATAAATTAAAATCCAGGCTTTTTGATATCATTAACAGCTGCTTTTTCAATAAAAATGGAACTCGTAAATTTGCTTACCTTGTCATTGGTCATTTGCAAAATTATTTTGTTAAAAAACATTCTGATTGCACACACAAGTACTCTGAAGTTGACATTAAAAAGATACTTGAGTTTCTGATTGACATCTATGTGTTTTTTTGAGACCAGGTCTATTGGAATTCCCATGGGTACCAATTGTGCCCCGTTATTAGCAGACCTTTTTTGGCATTCATATGAAGCAGAATTTGTCCAAAATCTTATACGTGATAACAAGAAAACACTTGCTGTGGCCTTCCACTCGACATTTAGATAAATCGACGACGTATTGTCAATTAATATACAATTATGGACTCTTTCGATGGTGAATAGGGTTTGTTATTCACCAGAAAAATATCAATATTGACCGAGGCGAAGCCGAGGTCAATATTGATATTTTTCTGGTGAATAACAAACCCTATTCACCATCGAAAGAGTCCATAATTGTTTTATTATATAGTCAGGATTTAATGAATAAGACATTGAAGGCCGCCTGACGATTCCATTTTCATTAACGAACTTCTGTTGTAGAAAAATAAAAAATGTCCAGATTACAACCTATAACCTCCGTGTTTTCCTTTTGATGTGCGTAAGACATCGAAATGTTAAGAAAATAATCCTGCGATAGACTTGCGGAACAATTTTTCCTGCTCATATATTCAGCTAGCTCCGACCGTTGCAACCCTTGTTTTTCAACGTTGTTTGGGGTATTGATTGTGACGTCACAATGACACTGCACGCGCACTGACCCTCCGGTGAATACGGCTTCAAATCCGGTGAATATGTAGTGTTATGAACTGTTTGCGTTTGTATAGATTATTTAGGGGCTATTTATAGACTATATAATAACAATTGTTATTTCCATTCTTATGTCGATACGATATATCCCGGTGAGCTTGAGATAAAAGATACTACAGAGTGTGACACATCTGTTTCATATTTGGATATTTTACTTGAAAAAGACGTTAACGGTAATCTAACAACCATGACTTTAACTTTTCAATCGTCAACTTCCCTTACTTACGCAGCAATATACCTTCATCATCTGCATACGGGGTTTATATCTTTCATCATCTGCATGCGGGGTTTATATCTCTCAGTTGATTCGATACGCAAGATCATGCTCTACGTATGCACAATTTCTAAAACGAGGTAAATTACTGACAAACAAGTTGATGAAACAAGAATATCAACAGTCTCGTTTAAAGTCATCATTTCGTAAGTTCTATGGTCGATGCAATGACCTTGTCAGCAAATAATTTATCATTGAGTCAAATGCTTACTGACGTTTTTCATATTAATTGTTTTGCCATTATTTACACTCTGAATTGTCGACGGATTTTTCCGTTATTTCCCGATCATGGCAAGGAGCACACGGCGGGTATGACCGGTCGGCAGGAGATGCTTACTCGTCCATGGCACTTGATCCCACCTCTGATGTTTTGGGGGTCCGTGTTTACTCTGCACCTATTTTGTAATGTTTTATGGACTTTTGAGCTTGAATACTGTTCGTTATCTCCATATATTTCATTTCAAAACCCCTGGTAATGCATGCTGATTTTTTGTCAACGAACATTTGATGGCGCTATAATCTTAAATTAAGAATATCTTGAAAAATTATCAGTAGGTAAGGTACGTTGCGTATGTCCTTAATATCAACTGCAGACTGCTCACTAATATTGGACTGCCACGGGTAAACTTTTAGACTGCAATGTTATAAATATTGTTATCTTTTTAACTGATCATTAATTACTTATCTGAACTGGATGGAATGGTAGTGAAAACCGCAAACAATAATCATGATAAGGGTAAAGTTAATCACCTTGTGCTGCTATGAAGCGCCTTTCCCCATCACAATCCTGAAAAGATGAGTGTAAAATATAGTCATTTTCTTACCCGCATTTAGAATACAATATGTTTGCCTAAAGAGAAAGTATAAAATCTTACCTTTATATAACTTGCGTTGATGTAATCATTATCATGTCCATCCCATTTCTCTTCAAGAATTACTCTCGAATGATCATCTAAAACATTAAACTAATACTTTTATAGGAAGTTTACAGCACTGGTTAGATTCTTATACTAATACATTGTATGTGCTCTCGTTATTTAAGAAATAGTTACATTTTAAATTATCTTGAAATGAATATCTAAATAAGAAAAGACAGGAAAAATACATGACGAAAATGTAAAAGTAAAGAAAATAAATCATAACATTTCAATATTTCTGGCATTAGCACAAAGTTTTGCATATATTTACTTTAAGAACCAGCAGGTCTGTTCAAAGGAAAAAAAGAAAATGTATATATAAGTTTAATTATTTAAGTATTTATTTGAAAAATTAAGACATTAAACCATGCTTTATAAACCACAAATAACGGTTTATTTCTTTTCTTCGAAAAAAAGGAACTATTGGATATTCAATTTACTGTAATGAAGGAGGAACTTCAGGAGTTCTGTACAACAGTACATGTGTATATTCGAAAAGTTAAATCAGATATGGATACTTTAAACTCCAAAGAACTTTTAGAAAACTTGAAATCACAAAATTTTACTCAAATCAATAACATCAAAACCAACGACTTTTCAACACTTTATACAATCATCCCGCACGATAAATTGAAGTCCAGGCTTTTTGACATCATAGACAGTTGCTTTTCCAATAAAAATGGAACTCGCGAATATACGTAACCTTGTCATTGGTCATTTACAAAATTATTTTGTTAAAAAGCATTCCGATTGTACTCACAAGTACTGTGAAGTTAATATTAAAATGAAGCTTGAGTTTCTGATTGACAATATCTATGTAGTTTTTGGAGATCAGGTCTTCCAAAAATCTGTTGGAATTCCCATGGGTACCAATTGCGCCCCTTATTTGCAGACCTATTTTCGTATTTATATGAAGCAGAATTACATGTAGCAGCATATGAAGCAGAATTTATTCAAAAACTTCTACATGAGTTATATCGACGACGTATTATCAATTAACAATAGTTACTTTCATTCATATGTCGACTCAATATATCCCAGTGAGCTTGAAATAAAAGATACCACACATCTGTTTCATATTAAGATATTTTACTAGGAAAAAAACGTTAATGGTAACCTAACAACAAAGCTTTATGATAAAGGTGATCACTTCAACTTTTCAATCGTCAACTTCCCCTACTTATGAGCAGTATACCCTTATCGCCTGCATATGGGGTTTATGTATCTCAGTTGATTCGATGCGCAAGAGCATGCTCTATGTATGAACAATTTCTAAAACGAGGCAAACTATTGACAGACAAGTTGATGAAACAAGGATATCGACAGTCTCGTTTGAAGTCCTCATTTCGCATGTTTTACGGTCCATACAATGACCTTGACAGCACATACAACCTATCATTAAGTCAACTGCTGACTGGTGTTTTTCATACTAAATGTTAGGCCATTACTTTTACACTGAACTTTCTACAGATTTTTCCGGGTTTTTTTCGATCATGACAAGCAGCACACGGTGGGTGTGACCAGTCGTCAGGGATGCTCACTCCTCCATGGCATCTGATCAAACCTTTAAATTCTGAGGCCCATGTTTGCTCTACTCCAAATTTGTATCGATTCATTGGACTTTCGAGATTGAATACTGTTTATTATCTTTATATTTCACGTAATGTTGACTTACGGTTGCTTTATTTTTTTTTTTTTTAATTTAGGCTTGGGGTTAAAACTTCATTTACAAATCGTTTCAAGGGGGCCTCTTTACTATTCCTATTTAAAAATTCAATGAGGAATCAGACGGAAATGAAAATAAGACATTATAAACAGGGAGAATTTTTACAGGGGAATGTCGTTTTAAATCTGTTCTTGGTGACATTTTCTTTCTTCTTGGCCGCATTGCATTTGTTTTCGTCTTTAGAAGGTAATCTCTGGAAAACAATAAAGCATTTAAAAATAAATAAACTACTGATAATCGGTTTTCAACTCATATTAAAACCTTGAAGAAAATTGATGAATATCTTCATATTCAAATGGACTTATTTCTTATCCTTAATAAATACATAGTGGGTGACAGTGAATGATTTACAAAGCCTCTTCCTTTACTTCTCACCAAAATATTAACAGCAGTGAAGGAGATACGATACTTAGAAACTCAAGGAACTTTTAGAAAATTTGCAATCACAAAATTTTACTAAAATTAATAGTACCAAAACGTACGACTTTCCAATACTTGATACAATTATTCCCTAGGATAAACAAAAAATTTTATATCATGGACGGCTGCTTTTTTTCAATAAAAATGGAACTGGAAGATTTCCATGTCTTGTCATCGGTAATTTGCAAATTATTTGATTAAAAACATTCTGATCATACTTTGAAGTTAATATTAAAAAGATGCTTGAGTTTCTGACTGACAGTATCTATGTAGTTTTTGGAGATCAGGGTTTGTATGCATAAAAATTCTTAAGTTAAGTTAAGCATATACGTTTTCTAAGTATCGTATCTCCTTCACTGCTGTTAATATTTTGGTGAGAAGTAAAGGAAGAGGCTTTGTAAATCATTCACTGTCACCCACTATGTATTTATTAAGGATAAGAAATAAGTTCTTTTTCCTGCTTAGCAGATTGGAATTTTACTTAGCATCTTGCGTAGAATGTTGCATAAAACTTTTCAACTCTTAAGTGTATGCATGCTCAGTTTAAGCTTAAGTTAAGCATGGTCTTTAATATCTTAAGTTCTTAAACATATTGCTTAAGATTTTTCAAAGAGCGTATTCACACAAAAATAAATAAATGAATTTTGCAAAAAATGAAATAAAAGAAAAATGAAGAGTAATTAAATCAATGATATAGATAACAATCTGTATGTATCCACTTTATTATGTGGCATTTACATACTTTGTTGGACGCTAGCGATTTATTATCAAAACGGTTTTAAATATGACGTCATTTGACTGTTCCGTATTTTTTCAACGTCCAGCACTTGTGACAATGCAGCCCTTTTCATGTTCAGTGCACCAGTGCGATGTACTTCTAGATATATGTTAAATGATTTTTACATTACTAAGGATGTGCGATTTTATCGGTATACCGGTATATCGTAATTCTTGATTGTGTGATAGTTACGTATCATGATACGGAGACTAAAATATCGGTATTTAGATACCCAGTAAGAAGTTCCAGAAATTATTCATTTATTTGTTCAATCTTTCAAATTACATTTACAGAAAGTGTCAAAAATGTTGAAAACGGTAAAAGAACGGCATCCTAGCATCCAAAATGCTAGATATTATGTGAATAAAAAATGAAAAAAAAGTGAAGTTATGTTTTTCCAGCATATTTTTGCGGCAAAAATATGAATGTTCATTTAAAATCACTGTAAAAATTGCTCGTAAAAATATCACATTATGGTGATATTTGTTTGTGTGGATGAGTGTGTGTGTGTGTGGGGGGGGATGAAGAGGGGATCGTGATATATCGCGATACAAAATTTTTGGCAATACCCATTCCTATACATTACGTCAAAAGAATTTGATTTAAATGTATCCCATATTACATGTGCAGGTAATCTATACAATCATTCAATCGTCAATTGCAGATCAATAAAGATGTCAATAATTAAAAAAAACTAAAATATAAATAGCTCAAAACTACTGATTAAGTATCGAGAGAGAGGGAGAGAGACTCTAATGACTTTGTATTCAGAAAAAGCGCTAAATACTACGCATGTGATTATATAAACCGAAAAGGAAGCAAACCTAAGTTCATCGTGTAAAAAAGTGTACATTATGTCCTTTTATTCTCTAAAATATAACTTCAATTTCAAAGCTAATAAAGTTTGATTCACTTTGCCTCTCAATTGTGCCACATTTTCTCTACCAGTTTGCAATTTAGAAGAGGTAGAGTTTGTCTTGTTCGTGATATTAAATTTCTCCATGTCTGTCTTTTCTTCAAAGTAGTATCCTCCGTGGAAGTCCTGCCTTCCACCGAACGACTTTAACAAAGGAATTGTTTTGAGTGAAATATTTTCGAAGGGACATTAAACAAACAAATACAAAACCCTCTGATATGAGCATGATTAATATTATCGGGTTATTTTGACTAATATGTGGTATATTTTTTTTCTTGTTCAAAGATTACTATGATAATAATCATTAAATCATGACACTATATCAATGCTATGACAAATTACACAATAAAAGGATTTCTTTTAGTATCATGACGATGACATTGCTTTGTAGTTCTAAATACAGTTTTCACATCCGTTGAACAAAAATAAATTTTGTCCAACATCCTTTGAACAAAAATAAATTTTGTCCAAAGTATCAAGTTGATTTTGTTTGTAATGTTAGTGATGTGAACCTAATATAATTGTTATATCATTTTCCTGATCATAGAGATATTACCATAAACTACGTATTGTAATGTAAGATCTCATAAATCAAACCTTCTTGTGAAGTATTGTTTTTACGAAAACTCAAGGCTCAGATAACTAAACATAAATAAACACAATAGGAATCCTACACGCTTCCATAGGTTTAAGACAGGAAACAAAAATGATTATATTAAAAAAAATACTTCTTTAAAAAGTTTCCTACGCGCATACAACTTGCTATATGCGCCATAAACCATGCGTTTGTCAACTTCACACGTTTTCATTAGTTTTCATTTGGTATTTAAATAGGTATTAGCTATATTCCCTCCAACTTTCATACATCAAACAGATCCACATTCAACAAATCCGACATACTTTATTCATGTATAAGAAATTATCTTAGTATATTACATTGAACTCTAGCTATTTCTAACTGCCTAGAAAATACCTGATATTCCAAGAGAAATAGGTTCTCTTTTCCCTCGCTTTTTGATGCAATAACATTCTGTAGTTCATCAATTCTTATATCTGTGCTTATTTGACTTGTGTTGTAGTATTGAGAATCATCGGCGGAGTCCAGACTTGGCAATTGTACTTGAAGAGACGCTTGGGACGAATTGCCTTTTAATTTCAATATTCGTCAATTAATGTAAGATTTGTTCTCACATGGAAACACTTTACCAACATATCTTTGTATTTGTTTTTGTATTTGTTTTAATGTTAGCTTTTAGATTTACTACGATTACTTACTGCTCATATTTGATTGTTTCCTGTATGTGATTTTGCATTCTTTATCGGAATTTACAGATGAGACTCCTATTTCTTTTGAATCCTTGCTCATATTAAACCTTCGTCTTCAAATAAAATAGGCTAAGAGTGAGACATGAATTCATTGCAAAAGAAATGTACTTATAATAGATACAAAAACAAAATTAAAACAAGAGGCCCATGGACCACATCGCTCAACTGAGCACTATGGCTTGGAAAAAGGCAGAAATTACAATGTAGTTCAGCATTAAAAAGAATAAATGCATAAGGGGGTTGTGATTTGAACAAACTTTAATCTACACTAAGGATGATTACATATTCTCTGCCGAACTGTGACTTTTTTCCCTATAAGTTTGGACTTTCATTGTGATCCCACCCTATCAATACGGGTCATGATTTGAACAAATCTGAATCTACACTACTCGAGGATGCTTCCATATAACTAATCATGGCTTTGCTATTCTTGAGAAGATTTGAAAAAAAATTCCTATGTATTCCTATGTATAATTTTGCTCGTCCATTATGGCTCTACTTTACCCCCTGAGAGACATGTTTTGAACAAACTGGAATCTACATTATCTGAGGATGCTTCCAAATAGATAATGACCAACCATGGTCTTGCTTTTCATGAGAATAAGATTTTTCCTATACACTCCTATGTAAAACGTGTCCAGTGTGGCCCCATCCTACCCCTAGGGGTACTGATTTGAACAAAACTAAATTTACACTACCCCAGGATGCTTCCATATAAATATGTATGACCAATCATAACTTTGTTATTCTCTAGAACAAAATTCTTAAAGACCTATCCTTTATAGTCCTATGTAAAAATTTGATCGTCCATTGTGGCCCAACCCTACCCCTGGGTGTCATAATTTGAATAAACTAGAATCTACCCTACCTGAGGATGCTACAATATAAATATGACTGTCATAGCTTTGTTGTTCTTAGGAACAAGATTTTAAAAGATTTTCTTATATATTCCTATGAATAACTTTGCTTGTCCAATGTGGCTCCACCCTATCTCGGGGGTCATGATTTGAACAAATCTGAATCTACACTACCTGAGGATGCTTCCATATAAATATGCCAAATCATGGCTTTGCTGTTCTTGAGAAGACTTTTAAAATTTTTTTCCTATATATTCCCATGTAAAACTTCGCTCGTTCATTGTGGCCCCAACCTACCACCAGGGGTCATGATTTGAACAAACTTGAATCTACACTACCTTAGGATGATTCAATATAAGTTGGCCTAGTGGTTCATGAGAAGATTTTTTAAAGATGCCATTAATTTTTCACTAATTTGTATTTAACTTCCCTTGGAAGAGGGCGTGGCCCTTCATTTAAAACAAATTGAATCCTTGTCATCCAAGAATACTTTGTACCAAGTTTGGTTGAAATTGGACCAGCGGATCTGGAGAAAAAGAGTAAATTGAGAAAAGTTTACAACGAAAACGACGACGGCAGACAACGGACAAATTTCGATCAGGAAAGCTCACTTGAGCCTTGACTCAGTTGAACAAAAAAACAACAAAATAGATGGGGAAAAAAGTGAAAACGCAGAACAAAAACAGGAAAAAAAAAACCCAAAAGCAAAGTACAAGAAGTATTTCTGTCACCAACAAGAAAATTTAACTAAAAAATATGCTTTAAAATAATACAAAAGCAGTGCAGGATCAGTTAAATGATTCTGCGCTCATTTTTGGAACGCTATTTGTCGTATGTAGTTATTCAACATTTATTAACAATTAAAGTTGTTATATGAAATATCTGGAGATAACGAACAGTATTCAAGCTCAAAAGTCCATTAAACAATACAAAATAGGAGCAGAGTAAACACGGACCTCCAAAACATCAGACGTGGGATCAGGTACCATGGAGGAGTGAGCATCCCCTGCCGACCGTTCACACCCGCCGTGTGCTCCTTGTCATGATCGGGAAATAACGGATATATCCGTCAGTTACAATTCAGTGTTTAAATAATGGCCTAACAATTAGTACGAAAAACGTCAGTCAGCATTTGACTCAAAGATAAAGTGTAACATTCATCGACTTTAGGAAAAGTGAATTTGGCATTATGTTAATAGATACGTGTTATATGATAAGACGAAAACATCTTTTGGACCTGTAATATACGTCCTTTAAGCTAAAAATAATTTGCGTCTATAACTGAGATTTTCTGTTTAGCTTTTTCTGGAAGAATGCTCATATGAAATCATTTTAATTTAAAATGTTACCGCAATGCAATTAGATAACATCCTACATTTATCACAGATACACTCATTTTTAAGGCTTAAATTAAAATTTAAATCTAAAATCTGTTGTAAGCACTTCTGAAAAAAAAAAGACTAACATACAGGAAGACTTTTATGCAGGTTTCATTTTACTAAAAAAAACACATATTACATTTTTAGTTTTAAAAATAATCGAAGCACATTATAAAACAGTATACCGGGTACCTTACAAATATAGCAACGCAGATAACTAACACTATAAGTATGATTAATATTGTTACGACCCCTCCAATAACTCCACCAGAGCCTCCTTCTAAGGGTAAAGACAAAGCTGAAATGAAGGAGGTATTAGATAAAAGTAGGATATTAAATGATTTTCATGTATCAATTTGTTTTTTCTTGAAGGAAGTAATAGTTATTTATTGGAGGTAAAGGGCATTTATAATTATATCAAATAGTGTCATGTTAAAAAAATGAATTCACTCTTTAGACATTAAAATGAAACTTTCGTTTCTTAATTATTAAAATCTAGAGCAGTTTAAATAACAGCTATTTATTTAAGAAAAAATAATTTATTGAGGAAAAGTTGAGGTACTCGACACTCTTAATACATACAATCACATTTGACACCTTTCCTTTTTCCCTGACATCCAAGCAAACAGTGCCCGTTGGCTTTGTTGCATGTATTTTTATTACAATATCTACACTCTTGATTGCAACTTGGTCCGAAAAATCCATTTTCACAAACTGCAATACAATTATTTACATTTTTGTTGAAAAATCTACACCTTAGAATAATTGATTATTATAGAAATACAGCACTATCATTAAAATTCTCACAGAATGAAAGAAAATAGCCCTATCAAAATTACTATAGTTATCTATGGTAAACTAGGTTTTCAATAGAATTAACGTTTTATTACAAAAATTTTTATGATTTTTATTATGATTTTTGAATTGATTTTATTCTCTAAGTCTAGAATGTGATTTTTTGAACTACGAAAAGAAATACAGGGTGTTTCATAATATATGTTACATTTTTTAAATCTAATTATTTTTCTTACCTATCATATTTCTAGTACAAAATATTCACATTTTAAACATCAAATTCTGCATTTTTGTTCCATGAGAAAAAGTCATGGATATCACGGTATTACACTGATTAATTGTGACATAAATGCCAATGTCATAATTTGAATATTTTTCGAAATGGACTTAACTTTTCAACATATTGCTGAATTGTAAAGCATTTTTTTTTCAATACATGTCGCCAACATTCATTCAGAAGTTGTAGAAGAAGGAAATAATCCAAAAGAATGGAAGCTTTCTAGGATGCTTTTCAGAAGGCTAGTAAGAAGGCTAAAGGACAGGGACGGGCAAAATGCGATAAATGACACGGTGCTTCAGAAAGCCTACGGACTTCAAGAGCCGAAGATTTAATTGGTGAAGTAGAGACTCTTAATTTAGCAAACTTCTGAGAAGTGTCAGATGGATGCTTTAGAAATTTATGCTGGCAATATCAGCATTTCCAGCATATATTGGACTTTGAAATATGATATGAAGTTATTAGCGTACAAATTTTCAATAATGATATACCCAAAGGAAAGAGTTTGACCTCTGCATTTGTCAATCTCAATCTTTGGGCCTTTTTTCTGTAGGGGTTCTTTAGGAACAGGATCTACAGTCCTAGACCAGAGATACTGAATGAACTCAAAAAGATCGTAAAACTTCAAATGAGAAGTCTCTAAGCAAACATGTGTGACAAGGTTATACAAATTTCAAGAAGCAATTTTCATTTGTAGTTGAAATAGTGGAGATCATGTAGAACAATGTAATGTTATTTGGGCTTTTTACGTTGTGAAATTCAACATTACAAAAATGACGTAAATTAGAAATTTTGCCAATTTTCATTAATGTTTGAGATTTTGTCCAGTGTTTAATATTTTAGTTGGCAATTGTACATAATGAATCTTATGGATACATGTATCAAATTGATAAAATCACTTGTCTGTATCTTTTTCTTGTGTTTGTCAAATTGAAGATTCAAAATGTAACATATATTATGAAACACCCTGTATTACTTTATATTCACTTATAATTTACAAAATTTGCATCACTGATATGGAACTTAAGATATAATCAGGCTCTAAATGTAAAAAATAAAAATTTTAGAGTAAAGTTTTACAGTAAGCCATAGTATTGACTATTATATACAGTTATGTACTCTTTTTGTGATGATTGTTGTTTGACGGATATCAAACCATATTTACCACTAAAAGTCCATAATTGTTTTTTTTAAATATAGTCCGGATTAAAAGACACTGAAGGAATGAAGTGTCGTTTGTGAAATCGCAAATGCCGCTGCATGCATACTGACCCTCCTGTGAATACGGTTTCAGTTCCAGTGAATATGTAGTGTTAAGGATTATTTGCATTTGAACAGATTATATAAGAACTATATTTGAACTACATAATAAATAATTATAATTAGTGCGCGTGCAGAGGCAATTTTGAGGTAATAATTAAAACAAAACCCCAAATATATTAAGGTCGCAACGGTCGGAGCCAGCTGGGAATCTGAGCAGGAAAAAAGTAAGGCAAGCCTGTCTCCGGATTACTATCCCAGCATTTCGACGTAAAATGATGTGTATTACAGACTATGAAAGGAAAACACGGAGGTTATATAACAACTAATAACATCTAATAATAAGGGCATTTTAAAAACTTTTTGCGAGAGACGTTCGTTAATGGAAATGGTGTAGTCATGCAACAATCAATGTCTTGATTATTCAGATTCGAACTATATAATTAAATTACTAGTATTATGGACTCTTTCGGAGATAAAAAGTGTTTGATATTCACCATGCAGAAAAATACCAATCTTGACCAAGGCGAAGTATTGACTATAGTTAATTATTGTAAAAATGTTGTTAGGAAACACTGAACATTATAAGATTACAGTGAAAGAAAGGGAATGCTTTTTTTTTAACTTACCGTCACACATTGTTCCATTCCAATGACTCTGACATCCATCTGTACATATCCCTGTAATGTTATTGCAATAAGTTCCATTTGCACAACTTCCACAGGCGTTTTCACAGCTAGTTCCATAGAATCCTTCCTTGCACACTGTAGGTGATAGAGATCGAGTTAAAAAAATGAATTGTAAAATGCAGCTCTTAGATTTGCAATTCATGACCATATACTATAAAATAGATAAATGAATGGAAGCACTAATTATGTTCCCCAAACGAAGTTTGGGAACATATTGTTTTTACTCTGTTTCTTATTATTATTATTAAGTCTTCCGTTCACAACGGAAGACTTATAGTGATTGTATTGTTTCTTTTTATTATTATTATTATTATTATTATTATTATTCCTCCCAAATTTTGTGAGCGCGATTACTCAGAGATGGTTGGATAGATTTTCACAATTTTTCACATGATAGTAGGCTGATATATGAAGTTTATATAAAATTCCGTTTTTTGAAAAATTCACTTCCGGTCCGAAGTTACGGCCGAATTTCCAATTTTTAAATGGACTTTTGTCCGGAATTTTTCTCGGAAACGGTTTGAGGTAAAGATGTGAAATTTACAGGAGTATTAGATCATGACATTCTCTTTGTTTCGAAGTTGTTTTCGTGTGTTTCCGGTACTTCCTGTCCGAACCGGAAGTGAACTTGTGTTTGGTCAATTTTCAACTTTTTTGTTTTTTAATATTTTTTCAAGATATTATTATGTATAACAGAGGTTATTCTACAAATATTAAATATATAATTTGTTTTGAAATCAGATTCCACATTTTGCAGATTTTCGGTACCCTCATTTTCCCTATTTACCTAGTGTGTAAACAATGGGCAAAGAAAGATAACTCTGACTTGTAAGTGAAAATAGAACTTTCGAGATAAAGGCGGAAATAGTATCGATGACGTAAGAGACATATACACTCTCAAAATATTTAGACGTTCCATATTCACTCTTCTAAATATAAGAGTACGTTGGTTACCACTTCCAATGCATGTATAGTTTAAAGTTGCCAGTGTAGTGTAAGTCTGTATTGACAGTTAATTTATTTACACATGAATATATCTAAAAAAAAAATTAATATATATGCTAGGTACCTAATTCAAGTAAATATATTATAAGCACTGAGTATACATTTATAGTGATGGACAGGAATGCAGTTTTATCTATCTCGTATAGTAAGTTCAGAATACGATAGTTATAAGCCTTCTATAATGCAGACGATTTATTATTCTCTATGATTTGAATGCGAAATTATCCCGGTTTCCGAGTTTTATTTTCGTATTAAAAAAAATATTACATACACTCAAAAAGGAATTGAGCGATAGAAAATTGTAATACAGTACTGTTTTAAAGCCTTTATAAATAAATTGATATCTGCCACTTAAAAGAAAGAAAATCAATCTGTAGATTAGATTTTGTTATTACATGTAAATTTGATAAAAAGTTAAATTATTTATGACACATGATCTATATTCTATATACCCAAGGAATTATAAAAGATGTGAAAAGACGATTCTTGGGCATGGATTCTTGTGAAATACTCAAAGAGTTAAAAAAAAAATATGTGAAAACGCGATTCTGTGTGAAATAATGGTACGCTATATGTTTCTTTTGAAAAAAAAAACATGAAAAAAAATTGCACAGGTCTGTTGATATGTGGGATAAGTATACCTGAATGAACACAATTTTATGCAATGATATATAATTATGTACATGCAACTGACGTCCGTACTTTTCCTTATAATTCATAAAACATAAAACTATCTAATTCCTTTGAAGACTTCCCCCCCCACCCCACCCCCGTCTTGATTAATATTTGGAGACGTTCGTGCAGCTAGGCATTTGAATTATATATTCGTTTTAGATTTAAATCTGTAACATGTGAATATAATTACCATTTACATGTATACAGAATTTCATATTCTATAATGGTAGATTTGTCATTATGAAATGTTCAATTTACGTCTGAGAGAGAGAGAGGGGGGGGGGGGAGAGAGATTCCCTCTTAATCCCGATCCTCCTATCCATTTACATAGAGCAAAAATTAGTTCTATATCGGTCATACCCATTCTTAATTAAATGTTTTCTGATTTCAAAGTCAGTCATGGTCACATCCTGTATATTTTTCAGCTTAAAAAGTATCACACGAAGTGCACCTGTGTTGACCTGTCAATCAAAATCACTTGACGCTGTATGCACTGCAATTACGTAGCCTGAGTTCGAAATGATCTTGAAGTATGATCTTAAGTAAATCTGATGCAACAAACTTGTGAAAAAATAGAATAAAATAAAAAATAAAATATCTCGGTATTATGAACTTCGATTGTGGGACGTGGAGACCGGTCCTTTGGATGAGATCGTATAAATCGAGGTTCCTTTTTGCAGAAGGTGCTGGCATAAAAAAGATTCCCCTCTGCTCAATTGCGATAAGTGCCAAAGTATGGGACAAAAATTTGCAGTCTCCACCGGCGAGTGGTGGCGTCTCCATGTGAGTGAAAAATTCTGGAGAGGGACGTTAAACAACATACGTATAATCAATCAATCGATTGCTGAAGAATTACTGTAATTGAATAATCTGTCTTATAGGTCTGCTGTCAAATCTTGATATTATAACTTTACAAAACTCAGTGACTTTAGGTTAATGTGATACTAACTTAATTCATTATATTTTTTTATAACACCATACACAATTATGCCAAAACATACACACAGTGAAGTTTATGATAGTACGGTGTCCGTCTGTTTGTTTGTCTTAGAAATGATTGCAAACAATTTTTTTTTAATTGCTAATGATATATTACGTATATCTCTTATAGGTGCCAAATGCATTATACAAGATTGATAATGAAAATCAAAGTACCTTAAGTACTGAAAGGACTTTTTTTCCAGTTATTTTTTTCTTTCACAGTAAATATGATATGTATGTTTTTTACACAGAAAAAAGCAAATTCTTACAGATTTAGAAGAACGGAAGACTTTTTTGTTGCCATGGCAACAAGAGTCTAGTTATTATTATTTTTCTTCCTGGGTACTTTTTTGTCCGTGAGTGATCTCCAAAACTACACATCCGATTGAGGTGAAACCTTTTTAGGGTTAATAGGAATGTTATGTAGATTTGCGGAACGAAGGTCATTTTGCGCGCACGTGCATGCACGTGCGTGCGCGTGCAATACGTAAAATGACCAATTTAATTGATATAGCTGTAACTTTTGTATTTTTTGATGAAATGCTTTGATACTCAGAATATAAGGATATATTAATAGTGTAGACAAGATGACATGGTCAGAATGCACATGCATGCACGTGCGCGCATGCGCATTGATTGAAATGACCAATACAATTGATATAGACTTAACTTGTGCATTTTTTGATGAATTGCTTTGAAACTCAGAATATTAATATATATTAGAAGTGAAGACAAGAAGACTTGATCAGCGCACACATGCATGCATGTGTGTGCACGTGCGCGCGCGTGCAATGAGTAAAAGGACAGATATACTTGATATAGCCATAACTTTCATATTTTTTGATGAAATGCTTTGATACTCAGGATATCAGGATATATTAAAAGTGTAGACAAGATGACATGGTCAGAATGTATATGCATGCACGTGTGCGCATGCGCATTGATTGAAATAACCAATAAAAATGATATAGACTTAACTTGCACATTTTTTAATGAATTGCTTTGGTTCTCAGATTATAAATATATATTAGAAGTGCACACAACATGACATGATCAGCGCACACATGCATGCACTTGCATGCACGTGCGTGTGCGTGCAATGAGTAGAATGACCAATATACTTGATATAGCCAAAATTTCCATATCTTTTGATGAAATACTTTAATACTCAGAATATAAGGATATATTAATAGTGAAGACAAGATGACATGGTCAGAATGCACATGCATGCATGTGCTCGCGTGCGCAATGATTGAAATAACCAATATAATCGATATAGACTTAACTTGTACATTTTTTGATGAATTGCATTGAAACTCAGAATATAAAGATATATTAGAAGTGTAGACAAGATGACATGGTCAGCGCACACATGCATGCACGTGCGTACGCGTGGAATGAGTAAAATTACCAATATACTTGCTATAACCATAACTTTTACATTTTTTGATGTAATGCTTTGATACTCAGAATATATAGACATATTATTAATGTAGAAAAGACGACATTGTCAACATGCACATGCATGCACGTGCGCACGCATGCAACGCTAAAATGACCAATATACTTGATATAGCTGTAACTTTTATACTTTTTGATGAAATGCTTTGAACTCAAAATATGTAGATATATACTAATAGTATAGATAAGATGACACGGTCAACTTGGATATGCATGCACGTGCGCACGCTTGCAAAGCGTTAAATGACAGATATACTTAATATAGCCGAATTTTTTTTTATCTTTTGATGAAATTTGAATATAAAGATGTATTGAAACTATTTGAAAGTGTAGACAAGTTGACATGGTCATTTTGTACATGCATGTCCGTGCGCGCGCGTGTAATGCGTAAAAAAACAATATACTTGATTGCCTTATTTAATGAAGCTTACAGGGAATAAGACACCAAAAGGAAGTTGGGGAGCGTTTGGGGAACATCTGTAACGGTCCCCGTTACAATTAATACTAGTTAAATTTTAACATTGGCTGTATTATTCTGAATTTATAAGACATATATTGGATTATTTATACCACTGGTGATATAATCAGATAAAAATGATTTTAGTAATGCTATTGAAGATTGTGTTTATTGATTTAAAAGTGTTCAAGTAGATCTTAGTATTACTTATCTTTTGAAGTGAAAACTTTAAACAAAAATCAAAATAAACATTTCAATGGGACGAACCCTTTATATTGCATTAACCTTATAATAAGAGATGTTTCTGAATATGAAACGAATCCGGATCTGAAAATGAATATGAAACGAATCTGAAGGAGGGATCTCGATCCCGATTTGAAAATGAACACATGTATGATTACAGATTTTTTTCTTTGGTACTCATATATCATCCTGTAATCTTTATAAAAGGTTTAATGGGTTTGTGCCCCCCCCCCCCCCCAAAAAAAAAACCCACCACTAAATCCTAGGAGTAATAAGTCCATGATATAAATCGTATATGGATGTTATATTTGTATATTACTTGTAGTGATGTAAAAAATAAGAGTTTATGAAGTAACCTATCGGTGTGTGGGGCTTGTCATGCTTACTTCTGTAATTTTCCTCGACCAGCTTACGAGGGGTCTGTCCGTGTCTCCCAAAGGAGAGGGGTGGGTTGGTAGAGTGGGGCTGGCAAGTTCATCTTTCTTAACTATATTACATACAATATAAATAACTCTGGATAACTGGGGGCGGGACTGGACTACTTTGACACCTTCCACCACTTGATCGCTACTGAACGGTCTCTCAGTTCGTCGTCGAAAAATAATTGTATAATATCAGGCCCGTAAGATGGAGACCAGCCCCCCTCACCTTCCTATTAATTTTGCCGTTATATACTACCTAGTATAATCAGAACAAAATTATTAAAACTACGGTTATGTCCCTCATAAATAAAGTTTGTAGACTTGAGTTTTGCTCAGTTGCGCCCCATTCCCTTACTGTGACTGCATCCTATAGATCAGCCAGATAACATACTATATGTAGTACTAAGTGTCTTTTTAATACATACGAAAGCTATCAGTTTTGTATCATTCTGTTGTTTAACTCACTAGATATTCTTTCCTCGGGAGAATTGTGTTTTCCTTGAGATGTAGGAGACAAATTAAACTTTTTACTATTCATTTTAACAAACTAAATTTTTCGCTAATCAAGGAAATTTTCAGTGAAATGAAAGGAAAAGTTTAAGCTAAAAAACTTGTAGACATCAATGTAAATCGCCGAAGACTTTCGACAAAAAATTTGGCCTGCGAGAAAGCGGCCAAGGGGCTGCTGAAAAGGTTATTTATCTGACATAATACATATAAATATATAAAATGATTCTTATGTATACATTTACACAAAATATTTTTCAAAAATAGAGTCCAGAACACGATTCTTGAGAGAAACAAATAATGTAAGTTGGTGAATAATACAACAATGATACTTTTCCAAACAGGTTTTTCCCTGAGTTGAAAGGGTAACTGTTATGTTATTTAGTCTATAGAATTTAACTTGTCCCTTTTATAACACGCCATCCCAATGACAAAAATATAAACATCATCCACTATTTTTTGAAGGACATATTTAACATAGATACATGTACTTGTATCTCGGCATCGTCGGATACCCACGGGTGATCTCGTCTTTTACTCATCACTGGGGTGATGAGTAAAAGACGAGATCACCCGTGGGTATCTGACGATGGCATTTAGCGAAAGAAATTTTGAACTAGTTAAATTTAGAAGGAGGAGGAGGATAAAACACTTTTCAAATGTAAATTCGATATATACCTAGTCATCGTAAAATTGAAAAATAAATCACGGAAAAAATAATATATTAATATTCATTGTATAATGAATTAAGAACTTTTCTTATGATGATATTGTTCTCAGTTTTCAAATTGGAATCGCGATCCCTCCGTTTCAGATTCATTTTCACATTCGGATTCGATTCATATTCATAAACATAATAAAGCATTTCGTACCGTCACATTCTGACCCACTCCAGCGATTCCGACAACCCTCAGGACAGATTCCTGTGATGTTGTTACAGTGAGTTCCACTTTTACACTTACCACATGCGTGTTCACAGTTATGTCCAAAATAATCATCTTTACAAACTATAGATGAAAAAAATCCTAAATGTTAGCATGTAAAAACAACAAGGAAATTCAGAGAATTGTAGTCCTCTGCTTTTGGGGTCTTACTGGTTGAGATGCAATGATTTCTGGTATACATATATTGTAACTGTCTTGCTTTTAATACCACAATGCATTATTACAGGTCTACAAGATAAGCACCAGTCCTCAGATAAAAGCAAGATAAGGGGATAAACCATAAGGTAGTGGCCAATGATTCTCTATAGAAATGTAATAGAAATCCGTGTTAGTTAAAACATACCGTCACATTTGTTTCCATGCCAATGTTCCTGACATCCTTGTGAGCAGACCCCTGTGATGTTGTGACAGAATGTTCCTGTTTTACATTTGCCACAGGTCCCGGTGCAGTCTGGACCGTAAAATCCTCTTTTACAAACTGGAAAGAACGAAATTATATTAAAAAAACTGTAAGGTCTCGATTTCTTATTGTAGAAATGAAGCAATGTTGTTTTTCTATACAGCAATGTTACGTACCGTCACAAATTCTGCCATCCCACCGATCCTGGCAATCACCAGGACAGACTCCAGTGATATTGTAACAGTATGTTCCTGTTCTACATTTCCCACAGGTTTTTGTGCAATGAGGACTCTTTGTTTTGAACACATTTTATTGACAATATGTCAAAGGGATTGGACACAAGTTCTAAAAACTTAGATAGTCCCCTCCCATCAGAACTGTAGTACCCTCCTTTACAAACTAATCAAATTTTGGGAAAAAACGTAACTTATGTGTTTATTTATTAATTCTACTAGACTTTGACCCGTGCGTGCACGGGTTGACATTGTTATGAATGCATCCATGTGCATATCGGACATTTACAAAATAGATACATCGACACATTCATATTGTAAGGTATTTTTTAAATAAACAATGAATGTGAATATAATTCTGTTTTATTTTTTTGTGTTTGTTTTGTTTTGTTTTTTAATTGTTGCGTAATGGCGTAGCGCAGAATGGGTTTGACCACCAGTTAGCTATAAATCAAGTCTTGAGTTCGAATCACGCCGGAGCTTACATAAATTTCACCCTTCCAAACAAATTTAATAAAAGAAATTATGGATGTTCATTGAAAATATGACAACAGCAAAGAGTTGAGCACACTGCTGATACATATCAAGCAAAGTAATGAAATGAAGAAATGTGCTAAGCTGGTATTTTTACACAATCATTTATTAAAGTAAAGGTGTAAAAATTTTTGTAACAATTTTAACACTGCAGGTCTCAACTTGTTCAAAATATGACCTCAACAATAAAAGAGTTAAGCACGGCTAATACATATACTTTATATATACACAGGTAATAGACAGGTATATAATCTGTAAAAGACTGTCTGTTTTGATAAAAATTAATGTAATATCCTTGAATTAGTACATAGAAAAAGTAATAAAAATAGAAGCTTAATTGAGAAAAAATAAAAACAAATTGGTAATCTTCAAGTACCAATGATGTTTAAAATATATAAAACAAAAGACAGTATTCTTCCGATTTATCGGTATTAAAGGCCAAAAATTCGAGTCTATAATTTTTATATAGTAGTTATTATTGTAATTTTTAGCGGAAAAAGAATGCCTACTTCACTAAGATGTGATTCTAACTGGAGTTGTAACGACCCCCCCCCTTTCAGTTCCCCTCAAAAAAGCATAAAAGAAATGAGGGATAAAATAAATCGGGTAGTTACAATAATGTTGCTCCTACGATCATGAGCTTTTTGCCTCCGTTGAGATGGCCAGAGATATAAATAACATATAATAAATGTGTCTCCGAGATGGCGAATGATTACCCACGTGGCCACAATATCACATTTTTATGGATATAAACTCAGAAACGATTACGATAATACAAACATAGGCGTCAGAAGCAAATTGAAAGTGGGGTGGCTATTTGAAAGCTGGGGGGGGGGAGGGGGGGGCTAAACCAACGAAAAAAGGTAAGCCCCAATTTTCAATGCCTATATTATGTCTTTCTTTGCAAAAAAGGGGAGCTAAGCCCCCCTTGCCCCCCCCCCCCGGTTCCGACCCCTATGACAAATACGTGTAAATTTTCATTGGAAATTTGCTTTATATTCTGTTCATATATATTACTGATTTCTTATTAGAGAAATTATACAATAACAAATATATATCTACTTAGTATTTACTTTTGTCTTCTCTGATTTGAACACACTCTCCACCAACAGCTCATACATTCGTGTATGAGAGAGAAACGAACGACAACTCTGCAAGGGAGATTGATTTTAACACCGTGATTTAGCGTGAATGTAATGCGCACGCGCAAGATTGTAAAATCCAAAAAATCCAGATGATTTCTGGAATTTTTTTAGGAATTTTCGTTGATTATTAATTACCGAAGCTTAATTGAGAAAAAATAAAAACAAATTGGTAATCTTCAAGTACCAATGATGTTTAAAATATATCAAACAAAAGACAGTACTCCTCCGATTTATCGGTATTAAAGGCCAAAAATTCGAGTCTATTATTTTAATATAGTAGTATAGATTTAGAATTCTATTTTTTTTTTGCTCCGTTTTTTTTTTGTGTATGTATTTTTTATGTGTCTATTTTGCTTTGTCTATATTTAATCTTGCTTTGCCTCTTCATTTTTTAATGTTTTCTTTTCCTATACTGCATTATGATAGCGAGTTTCACTAGATACTAAAACAGAAAATAATGAAAATTAATGTCTTTTCTTTTATAGATTTTAAATAATGATGTCTCTCTATTGAATAAACTCTTGTAATCGTGAAATACATACTGTTACATTTGTCTCCATCCCAGTGTTCCTGACATCCCTTTAAACAGATACCTGTAATTTTGTTACAAGTTGTACCTGTACTACATTTACCACAGGTTTGCGTGCAGGTGGCTCCGTAAAATCCGTTTTTGCAAACTGAAGTATAATCCAAAATGAGAATTGCAATGACTCATTATCAATATTTTCGTTGGTAAATGAATAAATATTACAGAATTATGATATTTGTATGGTTCATCCTTTCGAGGGCCAGACATTTCTAGAGCCACACAGCCATAACGTTATAAAACGTTTGTAAATTCCAGTTCATATAGCCAAGGGCAATTTCCTGGAGAAACACTGCAACGTCATAAAAAAAGATATAAAAACCCTCTTAATATCCACTGCGTTAAAACGAGTGATATTTTCCTTTCTTCACTATATCTTCCATAATAGCGAATCATACTTTTACGCATAAATACGATACAGTAGTGTTAGAGTCGATAGATTTCTTTTCCTAAACAAGCATTCTGAGAGTATAGCATTAGCAATACTAATCCCCTACCGGCAAGTGTAATCTGGTTCCCATTATAAATTGAAAAATGCCATAATTCCGTCAAAAATCAATGAAGCGGAACAAAATGCAAACTTGATCTATAACTCATCAAGGTAAAGTAACATACCAAAAATCAGCTCAACATCTGCAAGCGTTTAGAAAAAAAAGAGGAAAACCCTGAAAAATTGAAAAGGTCGTAATTCCGTCAAAAGTCACTAAAGCAGAACGAAATGCAAACTTGATCTGTAACTCATCAAGATACACTCACATGCCAAAAGCAGATCAATATCTGCAAGCGTTTATAAAAAAAAATGCGGAAAACCAAGTGGGACAAATTAACAGACAGACAGAGGGACAGACAGACGGACGGACGGACAGACCGACAAACGGACGGACAGACTCAGAGGAAACGTATAGTCCCCTCCGGTTTCACCGGTAGGGGACAAATAACTTCGTTTTAACTACGGTGTAGATGTGTAAAGTCATGAAAACGTCTCTAACGTAGTTTAAGGTATTAACCACATGTCAACTTTTCTTTACATTGCGCTTAAGTACAGGCTCGTAAAAAGTTGCAACAACAGGTTTAAGGTAGTTTAGAGCAATTTTATGGTTGTTGTAAGAAAAAGGGCAAAATATTTCCTGTGTAATTTTCTTTCTGTATAAATTCTTACGTTATATATATATATATATATATATATATATATATATATATATATATATATATATATATATATATATGCCTTGTTTGCAAATACAAATACAATTTATCATTTAGTCGATGTTATGAAGTCTTCCATACTTTGTAGACGATTTTTTTTTTACACTGAATTGTCTAACCTGTGGATTTTCAAAACACTTAGACGATAGATTCTAAAGCCTACCATTACAGTCTGGAGATTCCATCCTTGGATTACTACAGCCGAACGTACATGATCCATTTAACACGTCACAATGTCCTCCCAAACATTTATTTCCACAGAATTTACACTGATTGCCGAAATGACCGGCCGGACATCCTTAGAAAATTTAAAATAAATAATTAGGTGCTCGGTAAAATTTATATATATATATATATATATATATATATATATATATATATATATATATATATATATATATATATATATATATATATATATATATATATATATATATATATATATACTGATGAGCAGAAATCAACATTGCTGACTTTATTGGGGGAAGTTCATGTTTAAAACGTCCTGAGTTAATTTCATTAATTTCAACTCAACACTTAGATATATCGACGATGTTTTATCAATTAACAATAGTTATTTCCAATCATTTGTTATAATATGAAGTAATATTCCGCTTTCACCTGCATATGGTGTTAATGTCTCCCAAATTCATTGCTACTTAACAGCATGCTCTGATTGTGATCAATTTTAAACTGACATAAGCTACTGACAGATAGGTTGATGTTACAGAAATTTCAACAACCTTGTTATTATTAGCAAATAAATCTTATTACTGGATCGTATTTTGGCTAACTTGTTTCAAACCAATTGTTAGGTCTTTGTTTTGTAATAAATTTGACAACAAAATATTTTGTTTACTTGAACAATACATAGGGCTTAAGGCGACTGTGACCAGTCAACAGGAGATGCTTACTCCTCCTGTGACAGAAATTTGGTGCAGACAGACACACGGATTAACTAGAAGTTGACATTGGATTCCTACAGAAATCAATCCCACCACACGACACTTAGGACAAAGACTGTCCTAAAATTTCGGGCATCTGCGATGAGTAGTTGCTGAGAAAACTACAACGGAAATTTAGTAGGGACAGACACACGGATAAACATGAAGTTGACTCGGATTCGTACAAAAATGAGACCACCATACGGCATTCCTAGACGAAGATTATGTTTGAATTTCAAGCATCTGCTATGAGTAGTTGCTGAGAAAACTGCGACGAAATTTTGAAAATTTGTTACAGACAGACACATAGACAGATACACAAGGGTAAGACAATATATCCGGTACCCTTATCTCCTTTTCAGCTTAGGTATAATAACCACGAAGGGTGTAATGGTAGATTATACCACATTCCAACCCGTATGTACATTCCGATAAAAGTTTTAAAATGATACCATTTTACTTTTACTAATATTTGAGACTGATTTACCACGTATATTATGTACTTAAAGTTTTAAACCCATAAATTGATTTAATTTTAATAAACCATAATTGAATGTCTTATCTCTTTTACCACTTACACCGTCACTGTGAAATTCGATCGATTATGACTGAACAATGAATTAAAAGGACACGTGACGAACCTGTTTTTTTTTTTAAACA